ACGGGCTGGCTCCCTCTGCGTAGGACGTGGCGATTCTGGCTGATCCATCTCGCCGTTATAGTGAGATTTATGGAGACGGTACTGTTGCAAACTGAGACTGCCTGCTCGGAGGGGGGAGAGAGGAGAGGAGCGAAGAGAAAAGAATAGCGAAAACATGGAAAGAGAGAGAGAGAGAGAGAGAGAAGGATCGTGTTGCGAAATGGCGATGGTAGAAATTTGAAAATGGGACGAAAGATTAATCTCTCGAGTCTAAATGGAAAATGTTTGCAGCATTGATGCTAGTTAGATTGCGTTCGTGTTCGCAATATTCGTTGTTTGTTCGTTGTTTCTCAATCAAGAATTATAAATAAAATCCCTAGCTTTTTCATAAATCGAGCGCTGAACAACCTCGATGTAAAAAAACGGAAACAATCGAGCGAACAAAGATCCGCAATTATCCCGAGAAATGATCTGATCGTAAAATAATGGCGAAAAAGTGTCTGAGAACGCGAAAAGGTATCCAGACAGATTTTCACGGTCTCGAAATCCTCCCGAAGCTCCCGGATATCCGACCAGGTTTCGTGGAATTTATTTTTAACGAAGTACCGTCTTCAGACATTTTTCGCCCGCCCAAGAATAACCATACCCTCTAACTCCTTCCTACCTCCAACGACTACTTGATAAAAAACGAATATTCGCCTATTTTTCTTTCTTTTTTTTTTTTCACGCGAATATATTTGAGAATAAAACTCTCGAGAGCTAGACTATCGAGAGTGTTTATCCAAGGAATTGATTTCCATTTCCAATGCAACGTTTTCAGACGTTTATTTTTTTACTTTCTCGATTTTGGTAAAATATACTCATACCTTGGCAAGATTCGGATTGATACATCGACTCGTAACAACATATCTCTTCATCCTCGACTCTTATCACTTAAAACTCATTCTCTCTCTCTCTCTCTCTCTCTCTCTCTCGTTTCGAACGAAAACACGAATACTCTGTTCTATTCTGTCCGATATTACCGAACGGATATACCGTACGCAGAGTTGACGCAGAGTTTTCCCTCCGAGTGAGAAGATAGATAGAACGTCTTCGAAGAACGATGCGTGGATGGACCAAGGGGTCCCGTGGATTTCGAGGTCGTAGGTGTGCGCATATGTCGGATGGACGGAGGGATGGTGGATAATATAATGATGGCGTCGGCTGGGCAAGGAGGGGCGGGGCTACGAGGGGATCAATATTATCCTCCTCCACCTCCACCTCCGCGTTTTCCTCCGCCGTTCCCCTCTCACATCCCTACGTCCTCTCTCCCTCGTTCCTCCACCACCATCGCCGTCTCCACCCTACAACCGTCGACCTTCTCTCCCTTCCACCGCCCTCCCTCCTTCGCCTCCTCGTCCTTCTCGACGTCTCCCGTCTTACGAATCGAATTGCTCGGCCGGCGAGACGCGCCTCGGCTACGCTCGATTCGCTTCGTACGTGTGTGTATGCGTGTGCGTGTGCGCGAAAGCGCACATGTCGTGTGCATATGTGGCCTCGAACGAGAGGGATTGTTTATCGCGATAGGAGCGTACAAGCGATTCGTTGATCGCGAATTATGCACGATGTTGTTTTTCGTAGGTTTCTGGGTGTCGATGGGATTGTCGAGATTGTGAATGGAGCCACGATCGATTGCCTCGGGATCTTGATGTTGTTTTCATTTTTTTTTATAACGCAGAGAAGAATTCCAAAGGATCCATTCTAGTTTGGCAGGGAGCAGCTTATTCGTTTTATTGGGATGAAATATGGTATGGAAGAAACTTTTAAGACGAAGTTTGACGAAGAGTGGTCGAGAAGTAAAAAAAATTGGGATTTGGAAAATATTCGTATGATATTTTTTCTTTAGTCAATTAGAAGGTATGCATTCCTTTTTTTTTTTCGCGACTTTTGTTTTTACGTTTAGAAGTAGAACGAGACGGTACAGGTCGGGCAAAAGTTCTTTTCAGAATCTACGTAACTCTTTTATGTTTTACATAAGTGTCATTCGTTGCATCGCTGCACCGATGCGCCTATTTTTCCAATATCTTTCTATCGCTCCTCGAAATTTCCAGACATTTACTTACCTCAATTTTTAATCAAAGTATCTCAACACGTGTATCGCAATGAACGCTCTATTTATCTATTAAAAAGAATTTTCAACGCAGCTAATAACGCACTTACATCTTAAATGAACGGTGTTGCACCGAAATCGAAAATCGGAAATTTTCAATATGATCATCGTTGTTGCAACGAGCGAGGGACATCTTTTACAACGCGATTGATCCACCTGTATCTCAAACAGGCGGAGGATTGACGTATCGAGGGAAAAAAAAAGAAAAAAAATAGGGCAACAGCGTGGCCACCTCGTACGAAACGAATCACGCTTATCCGATTGTTCAGCGGCCGTTGCTAAGTCGTGGGATTACCCTGTATGGGGCAGCGTTTTCGGGGGTGTCTATATAATGCCGGGACGTATATGTGGCACGGAAAAGACGACGAAGGGTGGTCGCAGAGAAGCTACACCCGTTGGTGGGGGCTTGATTGATGAGCTGGCCCCCGGTCACGGTCTCATTACATTTATATAAGCTTTCGTAGATTGAGCCGTGCACGGAAGCTTACGCGGTGGCGAGGGGTCGTGATTTGATGAGGTTTTATTGCTCGAATGACGTGACGGGGGCCATTGTTCAAGCGGTTGTCGAGTGGAAAACATTGGATTCGATTTATCGTTCGACTACGATACCATTCCAGAAAACTTCCATTAAAGAAAAATCGAACGAGCGATCAATCAGGGAAACGAGTGAACCCTGTAATTGGTGTGTTCTTAAATTGTTACCAGAATTGGGGAAAAAAGCGCATATGAATGATGAACTTTATAATCATAATGCAGAGAACGTAACCTCGAAGAATCTTGGCTGAAACTTGTTTCGATTTCGTGTTAATTCGGAATCTTTTTACGAGGGATGCGATTTGAATCGATTCGAATCTTCGAAACCTTTCCTCCCCTCCTCGCGATACAAATGGCCGCCGGCATTGCGGTTCGGTCGAGATCGCCGTTCGAAAATTGGCACGGCTTAATCGAAGGACTTGTGCGGTGACCGGCGCGATCGAAAAGTTCATTCATCAAGCTTATGAGCCGCGGCGCGCGTCGCCTCGAATTCAACGCCGCTTGTTAAAGTTTATGGGCGCGGTCTTGTGTGTATACGAAACGACTCGCGCGCGCCTTCCGAGAGTTTATTGATTCTCGAGCCACGGCATCTTTCGGCCTCCGTTCTCTTCTCCTATCGAGTTTACTCCCCCTCTTTTGGCTTACCGTCGCCCCGTGTCATGTCTACGGGGGTCGCCTCGTGAAATCCAATGATGTTCCATCCTCGCGAAAGGGAAGTTTCCACGGTGAAGCGCGAGGGGAAATATATATATATTTTTCTTTTCGTGAAATTCATATTCCAGGGAAGGGAAAAATCGTATCGTCTTTGAAATTTCTCCTTTCGAGATTATTGTCGAGATTATTTCCGTGCCGCTCGATAATTCGAGGGAACGGACAATGAGAATGAATTTCGTGAGGAAATTGTACGTGTACGATTGAATTCGAGATATATTTTAGAGGATAAATAATCTCGTGATAGAGATACGTTTTATATGAGATACGAATAATGTTTCAATGTATTCGATTTACAAGAATTTCAAATTTGAAAACTCGTACGATCTATCTTCGCGATTCGGATGGAAATAATTGAAAGAAACACGGGTTCTCAATTGCTTGGATGGAACAAAGATCTCCATTAAAACCGGTAATCCATCCGTCGCGTCATAACGACGCGTATAAGAGAAGCGCGGCGCGGTTTTCGAGAATAATCGGCAAAAGGGAGGGCATTACTCTTCATTAGCCAGTCTTCTTCCCCTCTTTCAATGACTCGTCGCGCCTCTTAGCGTTTCCACGGCGCGATCGTGGAGCCATCCATCTTGCCGAGGATCCTCCAACCTCCTTTCCTTCCTTCCTTCCTTCTTTTTCACCATGCTCGAACCTTCTCCTTGCTCGAACCCCCTCGGTCCCGGCATCGGTTCCAGCGCCGATTGCCTTTACAGTTACGCGAGAGCGGCGTGTATCCGGGTGCAACCAGGCGTATAATTGTCGGGGCCAACTTGGTTGGGCGTCGTGGAAAAAGCAACAGAGGGGGAGAATTGGGCGCGGAGGTTGAAGGGTGGAAACGGGTGACGAGCGAGACTCGCCCTCGCACCCTTGGCGCAGTATCGAACGCGCGAGAGAGGGCCGCCTTGAATTAACGCCATTATATTTCAGGATGGAGGAGCTCGCCGGGGTTTTCTTCCCATTTGTCTCGAGACTCGGCTACCTACCCGTCTACCACCACGAGTGGGGGGAACCTAACGCTTTGCCCCGTTTCCACATGAGTAATAATACCTGGGCTGAATAATACCTGGGTCCTCGCCTCGAAGTAGAAATCTGGTGGAAAAAGAAAAGAAAGAAAGGGAAAGTTCTTCTTTCGTTTCAATGAGGGCGCGAAGTAGTAGCGAGGATGAAATTCGTCGACGATGAAATTCCATAGGGGAGTAGTAAGTAAAAAAGGAAAAAAAAGGAGGAGGGATTTTCGTGGTGGATTTTTGTGGGCGGTATAGCGGCTTTAGATTAGTTTCGAGAAGAAGCGAGGAGTGACGTTGAAGGTTGATTAAGTAAAGAGGGATTTGATGGGTAGGCGCGGTTTAGATAGGAGAATTTTTTGGACACGGTGCAATTGCCTTCTCAACGAGACGTATATAATTGTTTCACGAGCGAGATAAGATAAGATAAGATTCAACTTAATTGTTTCTACGTTTAGAAATGTTTTCTGCCGATTGCGCGAATATTTGTCACGATGTTTCTCGATCCGATTTCTCTTCTGCACGATATTTAACAATATATATATAAAATTCCACAGGCAACGTGGATCGATCGAAACGCGTCATCCAGTCGCAATCTAAACGAACCGTTTCGATTCTTCTTGTTTCAGGTATGGTTCAAGAACAGGCGGGCGAAGTGGCGGAAACAGACGCGGAACGCGAACACCGCGGCCGACACGGTCGATTTCAAGCCCGGTTTCGGCGCCAGCCTGAACAGCTTCATCGGCCAACCGTTCGCGGACCCGGACGCCCTCTACAGCTCCTACAGCCCGTACAACAATTGGGCGGCCAAAGTGCCCTCGCCCCTGAGCAGCAAAAGCTTCCCCTGGGTGAACACCCTGGGCTCGGTGGTTCCGACGGCGTCGCACCACCATCATCACACCCAAGTCAGCCCCGTGAACTGTTTCAACGCCGCGGCGACGTCCGTTGCCGGGAATCACATGGGCGGGATGTCCGTTTCGGTCGGCCAGGCGGCCACCTCGATGCTGCCCGGGATGGGGTCCGGACTGGGGGTGGCCGGCTCGCCCGTGGCGGCGACAGGCGCGGCGTGCCCTTACGCGGCACCGGCGGCGCCCCACCATCCTTACGGGCCGTCGGTCTACACCCCGCACCACAGAACGGCCGCTGCCCCCGAGAGCTGTACCGTGATGACCTCGAGCAGCATCGCCTCCCTCCGGCTGAAGGCGAGGCAGCACAGCAGCGGTTACAGCCTGAGCGGGAACTCGTTCGGCATGGACAGCACCCCGGTCTCGGCGGCAGGCAGCCCCGTTGGGTCGAGGGCCCCGTCCGTGGGCGGCGGCCCGTTGAGCGCGTGTCAGTACGCGCTGACGACCGCTGGCGAAGGAGGCAACCCTCACTCGCCGAGCAGCGCGGAGGCCCACGTGAACGCGACGGCCAGGGCCCAGGTCTGAGGCGAAGCGGGGGCTACGTCTAGCCCCCATCACCACGCCGTAAGCGGGAATTCGGGTGGCTCCCTGGCTGGTTCCGGGAGCTCGTTGGGAGGTCAAGGCAGTCAAGTGGTGGCGCAAGTGGGAGGGGCGGGCAACGTGTCCGCCGGCCAGCAAACCGACAATCAGTTGAGGTCGCAAGAGTGACCCAGGCCTAGGTCCGCCGCCTCGCCGACGTTGTCGTCGACCCCTTCGTCGACCACCTCGCACCCACCCTATCTGATGTACGACGAGGACGGGAGCACGGCGGACCAGAAGATCGAGGAGGAGAGAGGCGTGATCGAGGCGGGTGGGATCAGCGGCGAGCAGCGAGTGATCGCCGCGTCGGGTGGCATAGGGGTCGGTGTCGGGATCGGGATCGGTGGATCCGGCACCGCCCCAGGGGGAGGCACGGGGTTGGCGAGTTACTGGCAACACGCGACCACCGCCACCGGATACTGGCCCTCGTTGCTCGACTGTTGGACCACCCCGTCCATCGCCTCCGGCTCGCAAACGCTCTCCCTGCCGCGAGACGAGAACTGAGAACAGCGCACGTTACCGCGATGCCAGCCTTGTCCTCGCAAGTAAATGTCCTCTTTTACCTCCGGATATTTTCTCTCCCAGGCTAATCAGAGATCGTTAAGATCCTCTTCCTTCCCCTTTTCCCTTCTTTCATTTACGTATTTCTGTACGTCGATATACGCTTTTTGAGATTCTATTTATCTCGTTTTCTCGTTTAATCCCGCGGCATGATTTTCCGAGGATTCACTCGTAACGCGATGATCGAATTACAAGCGTACGTTGTTCTTCGCTGATTCTTCGCAGATCGAATATATGTTTAATTATTGGTTATTCAGGCAGGATTTAATTGTATCCTTCCCAATGAAAAACAGGTGAATGGGATAAAAGATGTACATACGATTGTAAATGCACGGACGATCGAATATATAGGTATATATATATATATATATGAAATATTTAATGTTTCGAGGTGCATGCTTCATCCGTAAATAACGAACGGAATCGCAGAGAACGATCTCGTAGAAGGGATTCTTAAGTTTCCTAAGAAATTGGTTGAGAATTGACGAATTATTTTAATTCTTCTCTCTTTTTCTTTCTCGCATTTTTGTTGAAAATGCGACGTATTTGACAAATACTCGAGCCAAAGTGCAATATTTTCGATTTCGATTTTTTCCGTTTTTCTCGATAAAAGAAAAAATCACTGTAAAAGGTAACGATCCATCGGAGCAACGAGCTTTGTATCGTTAAAAAATTTATCTTTACTCGCGATTAATTTCCTCGTTGAATCGGACGGAATATGTATCGTGCGTTTCGAAACAGAATTCAAATTCACGGGCAACGTCGAATTTCAACGTTGCGGTACAGTCTTTCAGAGACTCGAAGAAACGAAAAAAAGAAAAAGAAAAAAAAGGATAAAAGATAAATTTAATTTAAAGAGAAATAACGAGAAGGGAAAGACAATGGCTAATAAAGGGAAATAAAAAAAAAAAAAAGAATCCAGCGCGGATCGAGATGTACTCACTATCCTGTAGATATATGTATAGTAGACGCTGATTTTACGCGGTTCGTAAATATCTTTTAGAATTGTTATATTGTAATGATGATAATAATAACATTACCCAACAGAATACCAAAAAAAAATAAATAAATAAATAAATGAATGAATGAATGAATAAATAATAATAATAACGAAAGAAAAATAAATCATACAGGCTGTATGTAAATGAAAAATGGTCACCGTTGTCGCGTTACTCGCGCGAAACGGTGGTACTTTGTACAGTGTACGAGGAAAGAAATCACTTTATCGATTATGCGTACGTTATAAATATTATATTATATAATTATATTGAATAATTATAAAGAAAAAAAAAAAAAAAACTGTATTCGATATCCTTGCAGGGCACGTGTAATTGAACTTTTGGAGTCCATCGATTCATCATCCTCCTCGCATTTCGTTTATACTTCATTAAGTTCGATCACGTCTTCAATGGCGCATGACGATTTTTCATCGACTACTGCATAATAAAATTTGTTAAATTATACGAAAATTGTTCGACAAAAATGGAATTTGGACAGGGTGTCGTGTTTTTTAAAAGAGAAAAAAAGAAAGAGGAAAAAAAAAACCAAAAAAAAAAAACAAAAAAAAACAAAAAACAAAATGTAAATCGCACAGAATTGTTGTAGAATTGAAAATGGCATATCATCAGTTATAATAGATGTAAAATTTAAATGGAAATGGGGGGAGGGAGGGTGGGAGGAAGGAAGGAGACGAAGGGAATCGATCAACTTCGAAAGTCGTGATGCAGGCATAAACGCTATAGAACAAATAGTGACGTAAGCTAGATTTAAGAAACGACCGCTATTTTGTATGAATCCCAATGTCGTACAAATGTTCGTCGTAATCACATATCCCAGTCCCCGCGGTGAGTGATTTGCAAATGCCCGCGGAAGAATGTCTCTCCGTGTTCCGTTCTTCAGCCGTTTCACTCACTACGTGTAAACGTTCCTACTGGGCGATATTGAGCGCCGAAAGGCCCCGTTTGTAATCTAGTCACAATAAAAATCAATTCTACTCTAAGCGGAGTCGTACCACTTGCTTCTACCATCACCTATCTCGCTTCAACTTGTACGTTTTTTTATAGAAATTAACGATTTGAATTGACAATTGGGAAAAAAATTCGAATGATTTTTAAATATTTTTAAAATAATTCTTTTTCTTTCTTCTTCTTCTTCTTTTTTCTTTTTTTTCTTTTTTTTTTTGAACAATGAATTTTGAACGTAAGATAAAATTGGCTGGAATTTTTGAAATTCGTGAATAATAAACTCGGTCGAATTTCGTAGAGTCGGGTAATTTTAGAAGAGACTGGAACATATTCCACGTAACTTCTGTTTTTATTGGTTATCTCTAGCTACATTTGCTCAACAGAGGAAGGCGTAAAAAAGTTCTATCTAGAAGAACAGGCTTTATCATGATTTATATTTGTCAAATGTATTTCTTTGAAATTGCGTGCGTTGCGACCACAAAATCTATTTTCTCGTCGTCTATCTAACGATAATTAATTATTTCAATTTTACGGAAATTAAAGATACGTACAAATTTATTTATTACAAATTGTTCATTGTTCCCGCGTTTCGTCAACCCCCCCCCTCTTCTCCCCCACTTTTACTTTATTTATTTTAACATTCGATCAAACGCTACATCCTCAACGTAACGAAATAACATATAACCAATATCAATATATCTCGAGCGCATTTAATATCTTCAACCGGCATCATCTTTCACAGACAAATCTCAATATCGGCGTAATCTTAATAATTAATAATAATTTTTCCTCTCTCTCTCTAATTACACGGTTCCTATTGAATTAAGACGGAGGCAATGAATTCCGATCGATGATTGGGCTATTTATCGGTAGTTAGGCCTCCCGTATAACACCCTCTCGGACGTTGAGGGAGCATCGATAACCTTCGGAATCTACATGCATACCGAGCGTGTAACGTGTTGCATTATGGTGGTCGGGGAAAAGCGATAAATTATGCACCCTCCTCGGTGGCACGCGAAGGGTCGCTCGGTGCCCGGGGATCCCTCGTCCCGCTAAACTAAACTAAACGTATATTACGATGATCGTCGTGCCCGTTAATGGCACGGCACAGTCATAAGATATTGCAGTCCGTATGTTACCAATTATATACACGATGAACGGATGCGGTTTCCCGCCGTTTTAGAGCGTTTAAAAATCGGAGACAAAATGTTGGTGTTTCGAGATTTTGGAAAATGTGTAATTTTTGTTTAACATTTAAGCGGAAATTATATATTGTTCGAATGTGTTGTGTGAATTTTATTAATTCGATAGTGGAAGAATGGGAAAAAA